GTGTGTGTGTGTGTGTGTGTGAGTGTGTGTGTGTGTGTGTGTGAGTGTGTGTGTGTGTGAGAGAGAGAGTGAGTGTGTGTGTGTGTGTTAGTGTGTGTGTGTGAGTGTGTGTGTGGGGTCACTCCAGACGACCACAAGCTCAACAACTATCACGCCTGGCTCTGGAAAAACCAGGAGCAATTAGGAATCTGATTTTCGGTACACTCCAGGATATTTTAATAGATCATAATGTCTGCCGTAGCATATGCAAATCAGTGTCAGTGCCAGTAACTCACCAGAGATCTTTCTCCTGAAAACATGAGATGTTCTTATCGTTTCATCATGTTTGTTCATCAGTTCAAGAAAAATTGTTTTAGCTAACGTTGCGTAAAAATAAATGAACTTTTTATCTTTTGTACATGCTTTGACTTAATGAAGTTTCATGAATTGACGGGTTTTAAAGTCAATGTGAAATGGTATTGAGAAACCGTTTCCCTTTTGTAATATACTTTATACGAGAAACGACTGAGTATTTGTTGAGGCCAGACATGTAGACAGGGCTTCTTGTCATCAGTCTGGAATTGACTGAATGTGAAAGAGGTGTGAGGAAGAGTTTAAAAACAAGGCTTTGGTGACACCGTCGGCAAGTTGTTTCAGAGCAAGAGAAGCTCATTACATTTTAATGAACCTTTAAGAAAACGTTCTTTGCAGTAGCATGCGCTGATGAATCGATCACCATTCTGATTTCACGTTAACTTTAAAAAGCGAGACAAAAAGTTTTGTGGAGTTCATAATGCCAAATAGTGTGCCTGTAAAAGAGTTCAAGTAGTTTCAAACGGTTTCTATTGTAGAGTTCTGTGTCACTAGGTATACATGAGTAAAGCAAGTCAATTAAACAGGTTTTTAATTAGATCAATGTCTTCCACTCGAACCTAACAACAGGTGATAAAACAACTCAAAACATACTTCACATGAAGGCTGGCAGACGTCATGCCCACATCTCAGCTGTCTATCATTATAGGGCATATTCACATTGGACAAAAAATAAATATGACAAACAAGACAAATAGAATCTGTGATGAAATATTTCCACATTTTCATCTAAAGCAGAAGTTAAAGCATGCAGATACGATATGATCAATGCACTAAAGTCGCTTGTGCTGAAACTAAAAACATCTGTCAAAGAAATGACTGGAAGGCCACATGTGCTGAATCTGCAGGTTGAGTACACTCAGTTAAACGGTAAATCACATTCATTACTATATTCTACCAATTGCATATTTAAAACA